TTTCTTTTTCTAATAACTTTGTTTTGCTTTAAGCATGGTATTTCTCTCTTAGAAATTGTTGATTTCATTTATATATTGGCTTTATCTTTAGAAGACTTGTGGGGTTGCTGTTTTAGTGAACTGACATGCGTATAATCCATTTTTAAGTTGAAGCATAGCAAAGATATGAATTAGAAAGCTCATGCTCTCCATAGTGTCTGAACTTTATAAACTACTATGGTGGTATTGACTTTGTGACCTTATTTCCTCTGTACCGGAGTCGTGCATCATTGAATTAAGAACCTTTCAATATTCTTGACGTAGATTTATTGAAGTTTGAGTTCAAGTTTTACCAAATTTGTAGTTTTAGAACATGTAGCGAATTTATAAATGGATGGGTGAATTTGTCACAATTGATGACATCGGTTCCTCCAATTGACAACGATGCATCTGTGTTTTGCTATTGTGGCCTAAAATCTCCTCTGCGAATAGCAAGGGTGAAAGACAATTAGGGAAGAAGATATCACAGCTGCCGGAGATACAACTACAACAACAAAGAGGAAAGTTGCTGTTTTTTTTATTTGGGTTGTGCAGAAACCAATCAATCGGCAATGATTGTATCCAAAAATTTTCACCGGAGCAATGTCGAAGAACTAGTGTCGATTCATAATGAGGATGATGGCAATTCGATGGATGTTGAAGTCAAAGCTCTCAAAGCACAACTAAAACGTGAAAAACAAAATGCGGCAAAGCTGAAGAAAGAAAATTCCAAATTAAAGAAAATGTTGATTGTGTTGTCAATGTTTATAATAATATTAGCTCGCATGTTATTTGAAAATTTGAAGGTCAAGGATGTTTTGAGTTTGCCATAGCGTGTTCTCTTGAAAATTTTGCATGTAGATGCCGACATGTTTTGTACATGTATGTGCAACTCTATCTGTGGGAATAAAGTGGATGTTTATTTTTCAGTAAATGAATTCCACTATTGGGGCCTGAATATTAGTTTCTTCTTTTTGTATATCTCTACAATCTTGATTTCGATGTTCCTTGCACGGATGTTTCGCTTGTTGTCTTAACCTAAGCTTTTGTTCGCGTAAGTCTGTGTATTAGTATTCTCAGTTGTTAACAGAGGCTAGATGCCCCCGCTTCTCTCACATTTTAGTTTAGGTCAACACAAAGAACATCTAGATAAAAGAGGCATGTTTCGATGATTAACAACGATTGTGATATTCCCGTTTTGCTCTATGTTAGCATCCACCACAATCCAACCTACCAAATGCATTATACTTTCACGTTCAACAACCAGTCAGCCCCAAACGCCCACCAATATCTTCTCTCTCTAGTATAAAAAAAAAGCATTGAAGAAAATTTCTCTTCTGGACCACGAGGCAAATTGATTATTCTAGACAAACTTAGTTCGAGACCACAAAAAACATACCTTTTTGTCTTGTTCGCTAAGTGCCAAAAACACAAGCAAATCGAGACCACAATATATTGTGTTCGCTATGAAATCTCGAGGTCGAATCGGGTATGGGTGAATCAGGTCTTCGCGTCGAATCAGTTCTCGACAAAGCTACTTGTGGAAATCCCTCGGTTCCTTTCAAGCGTTGTCAGCTGTCGGACGGCTATCGTCAACCATCATCAAGCAAATTTTCGGAGTGGCTTTCTAATTTTTGGAGTTGGGCAAGCAAATTAGGTCAGCTCAGCGTGGAGTTTTTCATCGTGTTCTGATTTGGGGTTACTTTGCCCATCAACCCAAAATAGCAAAAATTTTAAATTAAAAAAGTTCGTCGTTTTTTATGTCCGACGTCCACATCAGCGCCAATTCGGCGACGTAGGACAGCTGGCACTAACTAGGAACCTATTTGAGCATTTTCTCGGGTAAGTTGACCAGTTGGACTCAATTGGCAAGAAATGAAAAGGTTTAAAACTCAATTGGTAATAAGTAATATGTTTAGGACTGAATTGACAAAAGTACAATAGATTTATGAATTTTTTGACAATTTTCCTTGTCTTATTTTGAATAATTACTTTCGGTTTCAATTTGCGATTGAATGCATGGCTAAGACTATTTTGCACGAAAAAGTTTTAAATTTCAACGCAACCAATTCACCGTCTCTTAATTGTTAAGTTCAATCAGTTTCAAACACTACTTGAGCCTCCAGGTGTTTGATTGACTTAGGCTCATCGTCTCTTTATTGTTAAGTTCAATCAATTTCAAACACTACTTGAGCCTCTAGGTGTTTAATTGACTAAGGCTTTTCTGAATTGATTAATGGCAACTCCAGTCTGTTTATAAGTTCATGCATAGAGGTTGAAATTATGCTTGTAGAGGAAATCTACTGTGCAAAGCAAATATCTTCTCTCAACAGATATATAAATAGAGTAGGGGACAGAAAAGATTGGAAAGCGATTGAAAGTGGCTGAACATTTTCATTTGGCTTTTCCACTCTCCTTGCTCTAATAGCCCAATAGAAAAGTTAGAATCCACTAGTGACCTGAAGCCTTTGACGGTGTTTACAAAGAAAGTTGCCTCTCCAGTGGGGATCAAGCTCACTCTACATATACACACAATTCCCTCCACAGTCAAAGTACTCTTTATAATGATAAGACCAACGTTCTCTTGGAAACTTACAATAAGAATCACATGGCTTTTCTCAAAGAACAAGCACAAGAAGTAAAACAGGCTTTGAGAGCAATTCGATCCCCTCAACCACCATTCAGCTCTCACTTTGACACATATATACAGCCCTCCAAACTTTCTCAGCATGTTGGAGACCTCAAATAGGTCAAAATAGCCATTGCATGAGTTGTTCATAGCTCAGATCTTTCACCTGAAGCTAATTATTGAAGCTTGCTCGAAAAGACTAAATTGCCTATGCATATGTATATGTGACGGTCCCGAGGTTTGCACGTGTCAAGGACTGTGACACGATTGAGAAAGAACCGGTCAAACAGTCTAGAGCTTTCGGAACATTCCTAGGGACGGGCGATACGGTAATTGTGCCGTATTCTAGAGAATTCTCGGCATAAATGCCGGTAGTTGGTGGACGGGGAGATGCGATCTCCTTCGCTAGATCGAATGTTGATCAATGGATGTAATCAGTCAAGTCTTATGTAGGGTGTTCACCCCCTCATTTGAATCATCCAAAATAATTGAAAATAATTGAAGTACTTTCTATTCTTTCCCAGAGCTTCTCTCTCTAAAACTTTCTCTCTACGATCCGAGCAAGTGAGTGAGCGGCGCTCCACGGGTCCGATCCCAAACAATCGACCCGTGACTCGACACTTCCTATAATTAGCCAAAAAAAGGCAAACCCCATCGCCACACTGGCCACGGTACACAAATTTTAAGTATTTCATCTTCATGCATTCTCAAATTCCCACAACGGAGCATTACACAAACCTGAACTCGAAGACGCGCTTCCACAATGCCCATTTGAAACATTCCTAGACATCCATCCTCGAAGGAGATTTTTCTTTTTTCAATCCCATACAATCTGACTTCGAAGTCATCCCTCTCTTCGAATACAATCTTTCAGCTCTCGTTCAAAAGAGAAGATAGAAAATTGAGAATTCTTTTAATTAATATGACTACAAGGTTACATTGCGAATATAATTCTTCAATGTGTTTATAAGAAAGAAAAAAAGAAAAAAAGGAGTGCGACTCGAAAGCACTAGGCAAATGTCGAAAGCTCAAAAACAATCACAACAAAATTCCCCTTGAGGAAGGTATCTTTTCAATGTAATATTGTACAAGTCCCGGCAGCCAACGCAGCTGTCAGAGTTCGAAAAGCCTAGACGGAAGTTCCACCTTGACGAAAGTTCATTCCGATCAAATGACCGTCACACACGTAAAAAAAATCTCTAATCTCAAGAACCCAAGAACTTTCATTCTGATAGTTTTAACTCGACATCTATAGTTAGGGAAATAAATAAGTAAATCCCTAGTCTACCTCGGCCAGGCTTATGGTGCATGACCTCGTCGACTGGTTCCTGATCGCACAACTTGAAGGTCTGTCTCGAGGACCTCCGTCTCGAGGACCTTTTCGAACTATTTATTATATATGCATCCTAAGTAAGAGTTATCAGACTTGTTCCGACATTAAGATTTCAACGTCTCCTATATTACGTCTCGATTTTCAAATTTGTTTCAGTCAGAACTTCTTTCACATGAGCATTTGATTCGTGCTCTTCTACATGCCTCATATCATTTCCTCCATTGCAAGCGCTTGTTTGCATCATTCGTACACATGACGTCTCAACACCTCCTTTCCCACATGCACAATCGACTTGCACACGCTTGATCAATCACTGCACTTAATCTGCAATATGTAACTTCTAGGTCTAATCTTGAATGTGCATCTCTTAATACTGTCTGCATTTCAAACAGTTTTTCAAATATTTCTTCAAAGAAATTTCAAACAAAACGTTTTCAAAAGTTACAATTCAAAGTTGTCGCAGAAATAGATGTCAAATTTCCCATGGCCCAGGCAGGCTTATCAAGACAAACTCAGGCTACGCACACACGGGTACGGTAGCCTTCACAAGTATGTTCAATTATTCATTCGACTCTCTCAAAATTCTAGCAACCTCCTTCAAACATAACCAAACCCGATCATGAATCTCGGCTTCATCTCATGCAATAAGTCTTCGAGTCTAGTTTTGGGTCATAGATTTCAATGCGAAAGGTCTACAACTGATAGCCAAAAAGCTTTGCCGCAAACCTCATCTGACCCATCCTTTAGTCAATTCACTCGTGCCGAGCTTAACCCCTCATGTAGGAAGTAATGGACACATAAGGCTGCAAAATGAATTTCTGTTTCGGCTCCACAGTAGTTTCAGGGCATTCAAGTATATGCAATCACCGCAGTTAACAAGCACAGGCACATCTCCAAAGGTATTGCATTCCACCAACCCGCAAATGAGTAACAACCTCAGCATTCAAGTAGGACATGGTTTTAGGTCTAATGCATATGCATCCATGCCACAGACATCAAAATATGCTAGCAGATAGCATGTGCAGACCAGAATAATAGATATTTATTTAGCCGAACAGCAAGAAACTGGACAAAAAGGCTACCCATTCTCATCCTCTCAAAATCCGTCCCTGAACATTCCAGTTACACAAATTGCAATATGACAAGCCAAATTGCGATATCGACTACAAAAAGCTTCTCCCTGAGATCCAAAATTGTCATGATGCCAACAACATTGCAATGATCTAAAAAATAGGTGGAAATTGCCGAAATGTCCAGTCCTCTTCAATAACTTAAACCCGACAATCTGTGTAGAGCTTGTGAATTGATTGATCTTCAAGTGAAGAAAAAAGCGGGTCGACAAATAAAGCTCAGCTTTTATCTACAGTTGCTGATTGGAGAAGATTACAAATCGAGGTTTTCTGATCTCTGGTTAAAGAAGAAAACCATTTTCTGATAGCACAGGCAGAGGCAGACTGACTCACACTTGTGTTACCCCGCACAATATTCTCAAAATCTAGCGGCACAAGCCGAAGCAGAGCAATTGCTATAGCAGACTGAGTAGAGAAGCCCATGTTCAAGGTGGCGGCCTGTCCGAGAAAGCTATACAAGGAACGCCTCAAACTTTGGACTCCAACATCATCAAAGCCACCGGCTTTAACTCCAAGCCTGAAATTAGAACAAGACATAGTTAGTGCATATAAACCAAGGCATGTATAAGACCAACAAGGGAAAAGCTATAGCCAATTTGCCACAAATTAACATAAACCAGAGTACCGTTTCATTTATTATTTTTCTGTTCTAGTCACAACCTTCACTTAGTTTTACAATTATTCATTCCCAATGTCCATGAGACCTACTAACCAGCTCTCACACACTTAACACCATATGACTATATATCAGCTATAACCAAATCTCTTGATCATATCACTACTATCTATGTCTATCAATTGACACTGATAAGCCTGCAAGTCAAATGTCCATCCCGTTGTTTCACAATTTCTCACTCTTTGAAGTAAGGAGCTTTATCCCCCACCAAAAAAAAAAAAAAGAAATAAGGAGGTTTATCATGCATCAACGCTCAAAAATTTAAGGTAATCAAAGTTTTCCATTGTCAATAAATTTTCCCAAAAAGTCTATTATGTTTCAAAATCGATCTTAGTTGTTTTCTGGGAATATTTGTTTAGGAACCATGTGAAGGGCTGGTCAAACGCATTAAGCACTAAAGGTGAAGAAAAACTAGGATTTAATCAACTTGTAAAATAAGATGAATATTTTTAAAATACTTTCAGTCCAGTGGCCACTGCATAGTCACCATTGTGAGCAAATTCACAGACAGAGATAGGTAATATTACTGTCTGGTTTTCTGTAACTAAGTTCTAAAGATGTTTTCAAACAGAAGAGTTACCAGCAACCTCTTCATACTCTCAAGAATGCAATAACGCGAAAGGAAAGGTTGAATCACATCTTCCTTAGAGGAGTTTTAAATTCTCATATCTCCCCAATCAACATTGACTGACAAACCATTCTCAATTAACCATCTGCTGGGCAGAGATCTTCACAAACTAAACTTGTGCACCAATTTGCATATGCACACTTAATACCTTTTAATCTATAGATATTTAAATCCAAGAAGCATAAGAAAGCACCAAGGTGTCGTAAAAGATCATGACGTGGCACACAGAAAAGCAGTTCCTTCTATTCCCCTAACAAATGTATGTGTGGGTTCTGAGCCAGGCCTTACATCAATTTACTATGCTTGAAATGAGGTACATGAGACATTCAAGGATTGTGCACATGATCAAATAACAAATAAAGGTGCCTGACATGGATCTACTCAGCAAACTTCACATAAACAAGTCCGACAAAATCTCCTCTCCAAGTATTTGTCACAAAGACTTGTTCTACAGAATCTCCATAAGTGCCATTAATAAATTAAAAACATTTTCAGAACGAGATCAACCCAAAATAAATGCAACCTACAAACATATTAGAGCTCAACACCAATATATAACAAATCATAAATAGCTAGTCTGATCTTTCCACCTCAATTTTTGTCAGGATTAGACAATATACCTCCAAAAAGGGGGAAAATCCAAAGTTCTTTTTGTTTCATAAAAACAAGTCAGTAACATTTTACCTTCCAAGTTGACCAACAAGAATTATAACAGCTGCAGAAATGCTTTCCAGCATGGGAGATTCAAAAAGTTTTAACAGCTGTGGGATGATTTTACTTTGTGTGGACTCCCACCCCTGCATCATTAGAAAGATGCTTAGATCAAACAGAACTAGGGTGGCCAGATACAATATGTTAATCATGAAGGGCAGAGCAGTAGATTCAGCAGAAGACTTACTGCATTCAATGCAATTAACTCCACCAAAGAAAGTAATTCACTAAGATCAAAGAGATCGTCAGCACTTCTGATTTGTGATTCAGTAAGGGGGACCCCTTTGCCTCCCTTGTCAGGCAGGATTTCAAATGCATCCGGCTGAGCACTAAAATTATCTAGAGTATTTCCTAAATTGATCGGTTCCACTGTGACAGGTTGCAGACTTCCACATAGAGCAATCTTTTGAAGCCTCTCTAATAATAGCGATATGACACCATCCACAGAAGTTGCTCCAATACTGAATGGGCAGCTGGCACTCGGAGGGACAACAGCCCCCACCTCCCCCACCAACAAGGGACATTGAGAACCCACCGACAAATTAGATTGCTCAAGAAGCATGACCACTGACTTCAAGACGGTCATCAGCAAACTATATCTGCTTGATGTAAGATATTCGCTTCCACATAAATAAGCAAACACATGAAGAATGCTAAGGACCAATAAAGGATCAGATCCATTTGTACAACAAATCTTGTAGGAAGCTTCACATGAAAAACCAATCTTATTGTCCATCACACATATTGATGCAAAAACAATACTGCCCGCCACCAACAGATCCCTTGATGCAGTTCCTGATGACAGGTGACCATCAACGTTGTCCAATTTCATTTCCACTGTTCTATCAGCTGCGATTGAAGATTCAGAAGGTACACCATTACAGAAAATAATCTTCCCGTGAACAAGGAAATCCTCAGTGAGACAAAGAAGTCCATCAACTTGACATAACTCCATAAATAGTAGTCTTGTCTCCGCATTTGACATCACTGTTTCCACAAACAAACGTACAAACAAGATCAAATTTACATTTAGCATAACAAATGTAACCAAGAAATTTACTTCCACGGTTATCATCTTTGACTTCATGGAGTACATTCAATAAGCACATGAAGAGAACTTACCAGACTTTATATGCTCAGCAAATGAATCTACCAAATTGAAAAAATCTCTGTCAAATGAGTACCCAAATGTTCCTGATGCCACAACAGAGTAGTTGACCAGCAATAATGAAAACAGCACACAGACCCTCTCCCTGAAATTAGTACAAAAAAGAAATTAAATCATTGATTTCGAATTTCTCAAGTGGATAGAACGAACAACTATTAAAAAGCAAGCAGTTATAATAAAAGCAGGTGTAAAATGCAGAAACAAACTAAAAGTGTCGGCGCATGGAACCAGGATAGAACATTTGAATCGGCACAACATGTAAGATATTTGTTTTCTCTTTTTCTGCTACTGTTAGTTTCCAGAAAGGATCAACATAAGTACATGGAAGCAGAATAGTAACTCACTTCTGCAGGAGATTTTCTTCCTTCCTCAGTTCAATCAGAAATTTTTGCAGCATCCAGCCTGGGTGAGATAGCAAAGAACTCCGAACCACACAACTGTCGATTGCTAGAATTATCCTATATATGCTTTCGATTTCCTTAACATCCGAAGAGATAACACAATATTTAGGAAGAGCATCATTTGCAGATCCATGTTGACTCTCAAATAAAAATTTACCCCCCTCTCCTGAAACAATAAATCTCAACCTGTTTAAATCGACTCTCCCTTCTCCCAAACCGAGACAGCAGGAAGTTGATGTATTCTCTTTCTCATGCACTACTCCATGGATCAAGTCTTTCTCTTCCTTATCAGAAGATTCAGTGATATCGAAGTCCATCTCGGGAAGCCCTGGAGAAACAAGCCTGCCAATCGCTCTCCTGTAGCGCTGCTCATCAGTCGGATCATCCAATTCCAGCAATTTCATATAACTGCCATCCACGGTATCAAAAATTTCAACTCTATCATTGTTACAGCCAAAAGAACCACCAACATCCTCCCTCCGTACAAAGCAAACTCCTCCAATTATTTCATTGGGAACCCGTCCACTGGTATTTGCTTCAGTGCGAATTTCAGATCCACAGTTATTTTTGTTCTGCAGTATCCTATTGCCATGATGTAGTCCTTTTCCACCGTCCTTTTCATGTAAAACCTTTCTCTTCTTCCGCTTGCTCTCATGCTCCACTTGTTTACTATCAAGCATATATCCAGCATCATTCAAGGGTTCATCTGTTTGTTGACTTAAAATACCATGCAAGAGAGTACGGTCCTCTTCCATATGGAGATGCAACTTCCTACTTCTTACACTCATATGATCAACCGATTCAATCACATCAAGAAGGTTCTTCCTCTTCTGTCCGCATACTTTTGATCCATGAAGACCCACATGAGGACTTTTCACACTATCGTCACAAACCTCAAGGAATTTTTCGTTGGCCCTCACTTTGGTATCTCCATTGGATAGGCTCGAAACATTTCTTTGCTGATTCAAGTTATCTTTCCTCAGTTTTGCTGATGAAGCAACAATGTATGCCCTGTCCTGTGATCCCACCAACTCTCTATCAGAAAAAGATGCCGTAGCAGAATTTAGGGCAGAACACTGTAATTTTTTTCTGTTAGAGCCTCTAGGCGGAAGCTCCGATTTAGAATCAGTACCTGATACAAAATCAGTAGAACTGCCTCTGGGTGTAGGCGGCCCAACTTCTCTATGCGGAAGCTGTCTCAAATCATCACATGTGGCAACGGATACACAGCTAGGCTTGAAAATTGCAATGTTGCTTTGACAGCATGCATGAAACGATTCTGGGACACACAAATTTTGCCTCCTTCCAGTTGTACCGGTGGTTCTTGCATTCTACAGAGTTCATCAAACCATCAGGTAAGCAAACCAGAAAAGAAAGCTAGTTCACTCCTAGATGATGTTTGTGAAGAAACTATAAGTAAATTCAAACTAAACAAGAGTTCAAAAAGAACCAGGAATACGCCTCATCAGGAAAAACACAAACTACAGTATCCTTACTCAAGCAAAGAAAAGCCATCCTCTGGGAGTTTCACTACGTATGAGCTGGAGGAGAATGTACATATGAGGAATAAAGCACAAGAAAAAAATGGGATTTATGATAAACCCAAACAATTTTAAGAAGTCTTACTGAAGATAATGGTTCTCTCAATTATTGACAAAGCGTGTTGTGTTATCTGATGCATCTAAGACACTCTGATGCCCTAGCCCACCGCGAAAATGAAGCTATAAAGAGATTGTAATGCTTGCTGAAGATCAAGGGTCACCAACATCAAGTCTGAATTAATATAAAAAGGGCCAAATTTTTACATAATCTTCAAAACAAATGTAATACACTACTAATAAAAAACGCCCTCACTTTTTCAATCACTACTATAATTTCACAGCATTAGCATTTATATCTATCAAATTCAAGGTTCCGTGTGGTTTCTGTAAATTAAATCAGACCAGACTACAGGGGAAAAGCGAAGAGAGAAAGCACTTATGGATTACTCATTGTCCCTGACCATGACATACAATTTTTGCTGCCTCCTAAATTTGTAGTAACATAACATCATAGAAGCTGTTATAATTAGTTGCTTTTCTGCCGCATATACTTATATATCGCAATTGTCTACATCTCTATTGCTTACCTCCTTCACACATGCACAAGACCAAAACCAGTCATAATGAACTTACTGATTAGGAAACACACCTTTTCAAGCCCAGGCATACCTCCACGGCTGGGTGAGAAACAGCTGCCCAGTGCATCAAGGCGATGTGCAAATTCGCCAAACTCCATCTTCATACGAAGGATTTCTTGCATCAGAAGATCATTTCGGCATTTTTCCAATTCCACCACTTCTTTGGCATGTTTAGCTCTCATCTTTTCAAGCTTCAATCTTTCTTTCAAAAGCTTCAACTTGGCAGAGTCAGCATCCGTCATAGGCAAGGCAGGAGGAGCCTCCAACAGTTTCCCAGATCCATCTTTCTTGAACTTTCCACTCCTTCGCCTCTTTTTCTCCGACAATTTGGGTGATTTATCATTATCTTTGTCATTCAAAGCCTTATTATGCTCTCCAGTTTGACTATTTCCTTTCAACATTTCCAAAGCTGTCTGTTTCTTCTTACTTGACTGTCTCTGTTTCTCAACATCAATGGCTGCTTTCTCAGCTGTTGAAATCAGCCTAGCCGTTCTACAAAGCTCATCATTCTGCTTTGCAATCTCAAAATCCACTTTCTGGTCAGTTCCTGCTACAGGACAGTTACTCATTCTGATAGAAGACATAACGTCATGAAGCTCTTGCTGCAATTTCTCAATGCACTTTTTGCCTCGCTCAACTTCACCAGACAAATTTTTAGCATGATCTTTCTCTTCCATTAGCTTCCTGTAATTATCTTCAGCTAGCTTTCTTTGATCAGCTGCTTTAGCCTTCTCCAAATCGGCACCCTGTCTCTCTTTCATTGTTCTTTGCTTCTCTAATTCAAGTTCTTTCTTTGCCTCTTCACACCTTAAAGTCTCAGAGACTAATTTTGATCTTGCTTCATCAATTTCTTTTCTCAAGTTCTGCAACTGCAGCCTACAGTCTTCAGCCTTCCTCCGTTCAATAACACAGATTTTTCTCTCTTCATCAGCCTTACTTTTCTCGGTTTGCAACATTTTCCAGGCTTCCTCAGCTCTTCTTTTCTCGGACTCTGCATTCTTCCTTTCTGAATCTGCCCTAGATTTCTCCTTCTTTGTAAGTTCCTTTAGGCGTTTAATTTCTGCCTCCCCCTTAGAGACCTGGGCCTCGAGCAACTTGATTTTCTCCTTCCCGTCTTGATCATCAGAACCGACACTTCTCTGCAACGACACTATCTCGGACTTCAACACAGCGACTTCATTCTCCAACGAAACTCTGACAGATAATGCTCTCTCCTTTTCCTCTTTCTCAAGTTCTGCACGCGCCCGTTCCGCTTCACATGCTGCAAGAAGAAAAAAAGACCGAAGTATACATACTATTCGTCAGTGGCAGCCCCAAATCTGTTCTTCCTTAAGGAATTGAATACCCAAATAACAGCATTAAGCCCACTCGCAAATCAATTTCATCGAGCGAGGTATCGAACCTACACTTTCGGATTCAACACCAAATTTTCAGCACTCAGAATCACACAAAGCAAGATAGTATTCGACACAATCTTCTTACATCATTGAAGCAACAGTTTTTCCATTACCTTTCTTGTGATTGAGGCTTTCGGCCTGAACCTTATCGAGCTGCTGCTCGAGTAGCTTCACGGCTTGCCTGAGAGCATTTCGCTTCTCTTCCAACTTCGAGTACTTGAGCTTCCACTGCAAGCGCACGACACCCAAAAAAAGCCGTCAGCTCGAGAGAACAACCGAAACCCACCAAAACCCTCCACCCTAAGGACCCTAAAAAAAGCCAAAACAACAGGCGCGTGCGAATGCATCCGAACAAGCCGTACCGCTCTGCAACAGACGTTCTCCGGCTCCACCTTCACTGAAACGTCTGCCGCCATTGCAGCTACTGCAAGCGAAGAGGAGCCGCCGCCAGTTCAGCTACTGCCATTGCTACTCTCGCTGTGTTCGCAGGTAGAGAGAGACACAGAGAGAGAGACGAGAGGAGCGGTAAGATTTCAAGAAAACCCTGACCGCCTGAACGAGGTCATCCCTGCGTGTGTGTAGAACCCTAGGAGGTCCGACCCGGTCCCGCGACGCTTCGTTCCTGGTTTTTGGATCCGACCCGAAATATTGATGGCGGTGTCGCTGCGGGTCGCCGCAAAACTGAACAAACGGATCGGGTCAGATGAGATAACTATTCGGATCACTCGAATTAAATTCCAAATAAAGACTTAAAATGCCCATCATTTTGTCAAATAAAAATCTGAAATGGACATTGTATCAAATAAGAACCTGAAGTGACCATGTCAATCTCAAATAAAGACATAAAATAGTCCTGGCAAGTTTCAAATAAGGGCCTGATCTCGTCGGTCGCTGGCCGGCTAAATATTTCGGCCGGTCAAGGGCATTTTCCTCCAAAGACAATTTTTTGGCTAAACTTGTTAGTCCCGTGACGCTTTTTTTTTTTTGATTTTGGATCCGACCCGAAACGTTGGAGGTGGTGTCGTCGCGGGTTGCACCAAAAATTGAGAAACGGATCTGGTCGGGTGAGATAGAGATTCGAATCACTGGGATTTCACTCCTGTAGGCCAAGCTTATACATGCTTTACAAGACCGTTTTATATGATTTTCTCTAAATTTATAACGGGGGCTTATGATGTATGTATATGATATCAAGATGTCTAAATGACATCATGTATTGTATAATGACTTTATTATTGTCCGCATACAACTTAATGAAACTAAAGATCCATTTATTTCACGAAAAAATGAACAAATTAAAAAATATTTTCTAAAAATAATTGGTTATATTGCTTGAAATAATTAGGTAATATTTTTTTTTTATTATCGACAATAATTTATAGATAAATATTTTCGTAGACGATAAAAATATTTTTCGTTCATATATTTCGTATGCAATACAAGCAATCGTTTTTAGTAAAATGTTATCCAAAACTTGGGTTTTCCAAGAAAACAAACGGACCTTAAATTCTCCTTACTATAAGTCTCTTTTTTAATTTTTTGGGCTATTTATGTCTCGCAATAGATCTTGATAATAAACCGGCGTAAAATCGTTGAGCTTTTAGATACTGAAAAGACAAATTGCACCTTAATGTGATTAAGTTAAATTTATAGTTGGTCTTGGTCCATGTGTTACATAAAATGAGCTCAACAGATATATGTATCTGCATCTTGAACGAGAACACGCCTATGCAAACGAATTTTCTAAATGTAAACGCTTTTCAAATTTTTGGACAATTTATTTTTTATGAATATCAAAGTATTTGAGCTATCAAACACTTAGCTCTATTTATTTTCGTGAAAAGTTAATGATTTGAAAAATATTTTTCTTAAAAATGATCGCTTATATCGTTTGAAATAATTAATCAATGAAAATTGATAACAATTTATGTTCAATATTTTCCTGGATAATAAATATATTTACATTTTATTTTTAAGCGGTCATTTTTAAAAATATAAAAATTATTCATTTTTCAAATAACAAACGCACTGCTAAGGACAAAATCGCATCTCTATATGTCATATTGGGCTAATGGGTTACATAGATGGGATCCTGACACTAGAGGTGGCACCTCAATATTTTAAGATTTGTCGTCTAATATCGACAAATAATATTTAAAGTAAGCTTTTTATTAGTTTTTTTTTACTTATTCACAATCTGTCAGTAGTACACGTGAATATTATTATAGGGATAAATTAAATATAGGAAAAATTCTAAATAAGGATATGAAGTGAGGTCATTTTCTCAAAAAAGGATTTAGAATAGATATAATATCAAATAAAAATCTGAAGTACCCAAATCGAGTCTCAAGCCTAGAGATGTCAAAATGGGTCTTAAACCCATATATGACCCATTTAAAAATAAATGGGTCATATATGAGTCACTTTAATTTTAAAGAGTCAATCTTAAATGAGTTTTAAATTTTAAAACTTAAAGATAAATAGGTCTAAATGGGTTGAGTTTGAAACCCATGTCCAACCCACCTACTAGACCCATCCTCAAACAAGACTTGTCGGTTGGCGAGGATGTGACTTTTCCGGTGACCTGAACAAGGGCATTTTTGTCCAAAAAAATTCTGAATAAAAAGAAAAGGCAATTTTACAAAAATCAAAACTTGCGTTTTTCTCTTCCCCAAAACCCGTTCCGATAAAAAAAACCCCAATCCACTTAAATGAACGAAGGAGGTGACCGAAAGCTTGAGGCGGTGTGCAACCAAAGGCGTGCGACTGGGCGGCCGTGGCATGCGACCAGCGGTGTACAATCGGTGGCGGCGGTATGCAACCGGGCAGCATTGGCGTGGACGGCGGCGGCGTGTGACCGGGCAGTGGAGGCATGTGAAGGGTGAGGGATTTTGAATGAAACTAAAAGGGAAACCTCTCCTATGATTCGAAGGGAGTGCTGTCTAATGTTTCTAGTTCATCCTCTCCTCAATTGTGTAACAATGAACCTGAACTTGTGATTAATGTGATATATGTATCTGCATCCTGGAGGAGAACACGCCTATGCAAACGAATTTTATTAAATGTAAACGCTTTTCGAATTTTTGGACGATTTAATTTTTATGAATATCAAAGTATGTGAGCTATCAAACACTTAGCTCTATTTATTTTTGTGAAAAGTGAATGATTTGGAAAATATTTTTTAAGAAAATGATCGCTTGTATCGTTTGAAATAATTAATCAATGAAAATTGACAACAATTTGTGTTAAACATTTTCTTGGATAATAAATATATTTTCTTTTTATTTTTAAGCGATCATTTTTAAAAATATAAAAATTATTCATTTTTGAAATAACAAACGAACTGTTAAGGACAAAATCGCATCTCTATATGTCATATTGGGCTAATGGGTTACATAGACGGGGGATCCTGACACTAGAGGTGGCACCTCAATATTTTAAGATTTGTCGTCTAATATCGATAAATAATATTTAAAGTAATCTTTTTATTAGTCTTTTTTTACTTATTCACAATCTGTCAGCAGTACACGTGAATATTATTATAGGGATAAATTAAATATATGAAAAATTCTAAATAAGGATATGAAGTGAGACCATTTTCTCAAAAACGGATTTAGAATAGATATAGTGTCAAATAAGAACCCGAAGTGCCCAAAGCAATCTCAAACAAGACTTGAGCTCGCCGGTCGATCAAATACTCGTCGGCTGGCGAGGATGTGACTTTTTCGGCGACCTAAACAAGGGCATTTTTGTCCAAAAAAATTCTGAATAAAAGGAAAAGGCAATTTTACAAAAATCAAAACTTGCATTTTTCTCTTCCCCAAAACCCCGTTCCGATAAAAAAACCCCAATCCACTTAAATGAACGAAGGGGGTGACCGAAAGCTTGAGGCGGTGTGTGACCAAAGGCGTGCGACCGGGCGGCCGTGGCGTGCAACCAGCAATGTACAATCGGCGGCGTGCAATTGGTGGCGGCGGTATGCAACCGGGCAGCAGTGGCGTGAGCGGCGGCGGCGTGTGACCGGGCGGTGGAGGCATGTGAAGGGTGAGGGATTTTGAACAAAACTAAAAGAGAAACCTCTCCTATGATTCTTCTTTTGTTCTGCGCCCGTGAATCCGCCAGGGTTAGTTTTCCAAATTGGAGCTCTTATTCGAAGGGAGTGCTGCCCAATGTTTCTAGTTCATCTTCTCCTCAATTGTGTAACAATGAACCTGAACTTGTCAATAAGCGCTGTTTTTTACTGTTAAAGTTCCTCAGCAAACTGTAGTTGATGGTAAGGCTCTTCAGTGCAACTGTTTGGTTGATCAAATTGTTGGAAAACCGGAGCCACATTCTAGCTACCGCAATTATGTTATGGTGCGCAAATGGTTCAATTGATGGGCAAAGATGGAATATGGCTTGTTTATCTTTAAATTCCCTGATGCTAGTACTTGTGATTGGGTTTTAACCGGTGATCCTTGGCACATTAATCGCCAATCCTTAGTTCTTTGTTGATGGCAGTTCAATCTTGAAGCTGAGAAGATGAGTGCTGTTCCAGTTTGTATCAAACTTTGGGTTTACAGACTGCAACTAACGTCGAATGAAATTCTAAGCTATACTGGCAGTGCAATAAGTATTACTTTTAATATGGATAAATCCATGCAATTGATGTAGACACGGGATTTTGTTAGAATATGTGTGCAGTTTCTTCTTGATGGTTCAGTTCCCATTGTTCTTGAGGATGACACTTCCTTTGAGTTAAACCTAAGTATTTATGGAAGCCTAACCCACCACATTTCCCACAAGTTTGGGTGTCAGTTCTTGATGATTCAGTTCCAGTTCGTATCAAACTCTGAGTGTCATCTCCTGTTATTTGTTGATGTAACTGATTCTGTTCTAAATTCTTTCACTTTTAAGTTGGCATGTTTGACTGGAGAGTGGTATTAAGAACAGCAAATTACCTATTGTAGTCTTGTCGATTAAACATGAAGTTGCTCGCTCTGCTTTATGAATCTTTATGCGACCAAAGCCCAGGGAAAAGAAGTGAGTTATCTTTGCATCCCCTTTTCTTGTAGCTAGAGGCGAGGCATAGCCACTACACATGCATAGGTCTTGCAAAACAGATTGAAATAAACGTTCCAAATGAGAATCTGTTGCCATGATACTACTTATGATTTATTGGGCGTACTACGTTTAGAAAAGCAAACACGCATCTTTTCAGTAATCACGCGAACTGATTATCACATACATTGACTTTTGTGTATTTCTCATGTCTTATTTCTTTGCTCAGGTTGGTTTGTTTGTGCGCAGAGATGGAGATCCATCAAAGGTCTACAGACTAGAATTGGAGCCCATATCCAAGGCGCCGAATCATCTCTAGGCTCTTGTGAAGAACAAGATTGATTGAAGCCCACCTTCAACAATACAGAAAGAGAAGATTTTATTAGGTGTTATGATAAAATCATGGGTGATAATGCACTAACTTTAAAAAGATGTGGGAGAACTGTAATTGGTTGTTATCTGTAGGTGTTCACAGTAGGATGGGCTGTAATTGGTTGCACATATATTGAAGTTCTAAACTCGTGTTGTTATTTTTTTTTTTT